GCAGCAGGGGGTTGGGGGGAGGAATGAGCTGGTGCCTGGAGGCATCCTGGGGCTGGGGTCCAGACACAGCCCGGTTCTGGTTCTCCTCTCCACAGACATCCCTGAGCCCTGGCCTTTCTCCACAATGTGGCTTCTGCTCATCTTCTCCATCCTGGTGACATCTGCAGGTGAGGGGGCCCAGGGTGGGTCCCACTGCCTGGGAGCCTAGGTCCGGGGACCCCAAAGCACCCACCTCACAGAGACCACCAATGACCCTGCCCCCACCCTCATCCCACCTGAGCCACCTGCCAAAGTTCCTGAGTCCCTGTGCCAGCCTAAAAGCCATCGGGGCTCTGGAAACTGCTGTCCGGATCCTCTCCCTGCCCATGACAGTGACCAAAGTTCTGGCATCTCACAAATCTGAGTTTGAGTCTTGGGCCTGCCCCTTCCTTGCTGGGTGACCTTGAGAAACTTGTTTCACCTCTCTGGACCTCAAGTACTTTCTGGATAAGACAGCAGGTACCTGTGACAATAATGGTGAGGCCTCAGCAACATAATGTGACCTAGTGGCCATCCCTCTGAGCCAATAATGTGGGTAATGCATGTAATAAACATTGAACAGGGTGGAGAAGCCGAGAATTCAGACTCTGGGTTCAAATCCCACCTCTGCCACCTTCTAGTTCCCCGATGCACGATGGAGAGGCAGTCCCCCCCGCGGGTGGTGGTTGACAATGAAACATGGGGCCCTGGAGGGCCCACATGAAGTGAGCACCACATCCCTCAACTGCCAGGGGAAGGGGCTGTGGCTCAGAGGGATGGCCACTAGGTCAAGGTCACCTGGGTGGCAGTTCAGCTCCAGCCCAAGCTCTGCCACTACCCCTGGATGAATCACCTGTAACCTGATGCCCCCCTGGAGAAAGTCTCAGGTGGATCTGTTCATTAACCGCCTCCTGCCCCTCACCCCTCAGGCCTCCCTATGCTGCCAGCCTCCCTTGGGGCTTTCCCTGTGCCCCCCTCCTTGCCTCCCACCTGCCTGCTGCACCCAGCTGGGGCCTCCACCCTCCGCCAGCTCGGACTGGCCAGGTGCAGCCCGGTGCCCAGCTGTTCAGCCAGCGCCCTCACACCCTTCTCCATAGAGGACCTCACCCTTCCTCAGTTAAGCCCCTCATGTACCACATCCGCATTCCCGGCCTCACCCTCACCTTGGTGGGCAGAGTGGGGGCATTTGGTCCAATTATGCAAATCCAGCCCCAGTGAGGGTGTCTGTGTACACGGCTGTGACCTTGGGGCTATTCACCCTGCCCACATGCACAATGCCCATTGTAGGAAGCTGTGGTCCTGTGACCTGGAAATGTCCCCATGTCCTTGTGCATGCCGCCATTGTGTGTGTGTGTGTGTGTGTGTGTGCGCGCGCGTGCGCGGGGCAGAGGTAGGATTTGAACCCAGAGTTTGTGTACTTAGTTTTTCAATCCTTATTGAGTGCTTATTATATAAATTACCTACATTATGCTACGGAGACTTCACTGTTATTGTCATAGGTGTATGCCCCTGTGTGTGTGTGTGTGTGTGTATGTGTGTGTGTGTGTATTGGGGGGTTTCACATCCTGCCCATATGCATGAACTAGGTCCCTGTAGGTGAAACCTGATGAGTGACCTTGAACACCATGGATCTTGCTTGGGGGCTGATCTGGAAGTGGATAAACATAATCTATCCCAGTCGTCTGATAAGTCTTTGACCTTGAATGCCTGGCCCTATGTCTGGGTGTTGCCCTGGAGTCTGATCCGGTGGGTCCTCCTCTGAGTGTTGGTTCTCTAGTTTGTTGTCTGCAACTTTGATTCTTCAAAATGGCTTGTGGTTGAATCACTGTTTTAACCTTGGCCATGGAGGTGGATGCAGATGTCTACCATAGTACGGCCATATGTGTGCCCACAAATAAATCTATGGGTCCTTTGTTGAGAATAACTAGCATTTACTAAGCAGTTCCCAGTTACAATGTTGCAGGTATGATTCAACACACACACACACACACACACACACACACACACACACACACATCCTCCTATTTCATCTTTACAAACTCTCCATCTTACAGATGAGGAAAGAGAGGCACAGAGATCAAATAACTTGCTCTAAGTCTCACACCTTGTATATTTGAACCCAGGGTTAAGGATCCCACCTTCTTTGCCTAGACCTGTTATGCACATGTGCTTATCTGTGACACTGGGTGCCAAGACCACAATGGAGACTAAATTTAGGTCTGACCTGTATCCAATGTTGATTGTGTGTGTGTGTGTGTGTGTGTGTACACAACCATGTGTTAACTGTTCATATTCATACACAATGTCTTTGTTGTGAATCTCGAAGCTCTAACCCATGCACCTGCAGTTAATTTTTAGCTTAAAGTGCTCTCCCTGTCTGTTCCTGTGCTTGCAAACCTGGTGGAGTGTATATGTGTGTTCAGGACCCTATGGGGCCGGTTGGTGAATGTGATTGACATATACAGAGCCAGGTCTGTGTGTCAAACCTATTGAGTGGCTACATTCACTTGATATCATGACACTTTGGGACCCTGAATCACTAGTTCCAAGTGATCACCTGTCTGAGCCTCACCCCCAATCCCAGAGAACTCCTTGCCCTCTGATCCTTTCTCTGTCCTCCCTCTCCCGGGTTCCTTAGCAAGTGGGGCTAGACCAGAATTGCACAAAAGGCATTCATTGTAAAAGCTAGAGAGTTCAATGCTTCACGATAAACAGCAGGGACCCTTAAGAAATTGGGACCAAGTGTGGTGGTGCGTGCCTGTAATCCCAGGGACTTGGGACTCTGAGGCAGGAGGATCACAAGTTCGAGGCCAGCTTTGGCAACTTAGTGAGACCTAAGCAACTTAGTGAAACCCTGTCTCAAAATAGAAAATACAAAGGGCTGGGGAAGTGGCTCAGTGGTTAAGCACCCCTGGGTTAAATCCCCAATACAAAAAAAAAAAAAAAAGAAAAAAGAAAAAAAGAAATTGACATGGATGGAAGAAAGGTGTGGAGGTGCTGAAGAGGCCAGGTCTCAAGGATCTTCTGCCCCTCCCCCACCAGCCCAGGATAGAGACAAGGCGCTGGAAGGGGAGGAGTGTGTGCCCCACTCCCAGCCATGGCAAGTGGCCCTCTTCGAGCGTGGGCGCTTCAACTGCGGGGCTTCCCTCATCTCCCCACGCTGGGTGCTCTCTGCTGCACACTGCCTCACCCGGTATGAAGGCGGGGCGTGGGGTCCTGCCGGGGCGGAGGGACAGGCGTGGGGGCTAGTTTTGGGGGAAGTACGCGCTGGTGCCTGGAGCTTTGGGTTGAATGGGGAAGAGGGTCCATATTCCTGGGTTCTGAAGGAGGAAGAAGCTGGAGGTCAGGGGTCTTAGGTCCCTGAAGGAGGAAAGAGGCTGGTAAGGCCCCATCTTTCTGGGGGGAAGAGTCTGGGGATCTGAGAATTCTAGATTCTGAGGAGGGAAGGTCTGAAACATGGAGGCTGAGTTCCAGGTGCGCCCATGCTTTCAGACTCCCGGATCCCCGAGGGGCAAGAGCTGGAACCTTTTGGCCTCAGCCATGTAGGTTCACAATGGCACCTGGAGATTCCCAAAGGGTCAGAGGATTCCAGGTTGCATACTCTTTGATCTCTCTATCTACTCCTTACTGCACTTGCGGGTAACTACTCGCTGCACAGCTTCATGAGAGTGCGCCTGGGTGAGCACAATCTGCGCAAGCGTGATGGCCCCGAGCAACTGCGGATGGTTTCTCGCATCATCCCCCACCCGCAGTACGAAGCACGCAGCCACCGCCATGACGTCATGTTGGTGCGGCTAGCCAGACCTGCGCGTCTGACCCCCCAGGTGCGCCCAGTGGCTCTGCCCACCCGTTGCCCCGACCCAGGAGAGGCCTGCAGGGTGTCTGGCTGGGGCCTGGTGTCCAACAAGGAGTCCGGGACCACAGGAAGCCCTGAGTCTCAAGGTGTGTGAAAGGGTGGACCTATCCTCCAGGGCTCTTGGTAGAGGGGACAGGAGCCAAAATGCACTGTATGCTCCAAGTCTGCTGTCCTCCCCAGTGAGCCTCCCAGACACGCTGCATTGTGCCAACATCAGCATCATCTCGGACGCCTCTTGTAACAAGGATTACCCTGGACGCCTGACAAGCGCCATGGTGTGTGCAGGAGTGGAGGGCGGAGGAACGGACTCCTGCGAGGTCAGAGCACAGAGGGGCTAGGAGGTGGGAGAAAGCCGGTGGGTACGGGCTGGAAAGTTGGGACATCTTGGATTTTGTGTGATTGGAGCCATGAAGATGCTAGAGTTAAGTCTAGATGTGTGATAGGAAGAGTGGTTATAATACTGGTTAGGTTGGAGTTGGAGCTAAAGATGGAAATAGGGTTAGCTTAGGATAGCATGATTGGTGTGAGGATAGGGAAGAGTTTGGTTTGATTTGGATGGGAAATATGTTGGGGGCAAAGTGGGCTGAGATGGATTTGGAGAGGAAACATTAGATGTGGAGACTGGGAGTGAGTTGTGTTAGATGTGAGGATGGGCATGGGTTTGCTTTGATGGGTTGAGTTTCTTCAGGTTTAGCTGAGCAAGTTGGGCTGGGGGTGCCTGGGATGGAGTGGGTTGGATTGAGATTGCGAATGGTAATTAGGATGGGGATGGGGTGGCTCTGAGTCCAGGAAGTTCCCACTCAACTTGAGACACCCCCCCTCTTCCCACAGGGTGACTCCGGGGGACCCCTGATCTGTAGAGGTGCTCTTCAGGGCATTGTGTCCTGGGGTGATGTCCCTTGTGACACTACCACCAAGCCTGGTGTCTATACCAAAGTCTGCCGCTACCTGAAGTGGATCAGGGAAACCATGAAGAGAAACTGACTAATTGGCCTACCTGACTGAGCGGAAGCCTCCAGGGCTGGCCAGCGGTCCCGTCCTGCCCTACTAGGCTACTATGTCCCTGTCCTGCCCTGCACCTACTATGTCCCTGTCTAAGTCCCAGATGGTAGCCAAGGACTTGTCATGCCTGAAGCCAAAGCTGGTGTTCAAGGTCACCTGTTTAACACCAAGATCAGAGGTTGATTCACATTTCTCTATAGGAGTTTCTGTCACTTTCTTCTGGAGATGAAGGGAAATGGGAGCCAGAAGCTGGGGGTGGGGGACTCAAAGAACATCTCCAACCTGTCCCTCCAGTAGGTGAGAGGACATGGCTTCAAGCAGGGCTGTGTCCACTCAGCACACGTGAGCAGGTGCGTGCTGTTGAACAGGGTCTCAACCTCACCCACCCTGGGTCCTCCCATCTGTAAAATTCTGATCCTGATGTCACTTGCCTCCCGGGGTGGTCGTGAGGATAAATCGAGGTCCTACTGATTAGAATAGTGTCTGGCATTGAGTAAATACTCTGTATCACTGGATCCCAGAGAGGGACCCCCACACACTAGGTTACCCAGAATGACTTCTTTATCTTAAAGATTTAGTTCAAGGTTTCCTGATGGTTGTGACAAAAAAAAGGCAAACACCTCCTTTCCTGAATCAGATTCCTGGGGAGCAGAGGCTGGGACCCCTGTGAGCTGTTTTGATTTTACCAAAGAGTCAAGATAACACTTTGGAAGCCTGTGGGTTTACCCTTGAGGCCTCAGGAATCTCATTCCTGGTTCTCTTCAGAGATCCCAAAATGTGATTTTCAAGATCACGGGATGTGGAAGCACATGAACCTGGTTCTTGAGATCTATTCTATTGGTGGAATGGGAGTGGAAGTTGGAATTTGTGGTGATAATGTGACCCAGGAGGGTGGGTGGTTAATCCACATCTCTGGGGCTTGGAGGACATGACCTTCAGGAGTGAAAGGGTCATTGTGATCCCAACACTGGGGACACACTGAACTTGGGAATGCTAGAGATCTTGCCCTGGGAGACCCTGGAAACTGTCCCTATAACATGTAGAAGTCCCCCTAATTTTTATTAAGAAAGGACCAAGTCTCAGGTCTAGGAGTGCAAGCCTCAGGGCAGTGTGAATGCCAAGACACATATTTAAGGGAGAGCTAGCAGCTGAGAAGCTGCCCTCGGGGCTCTGAGTAGTGCCCTGTACCCCTGAGCAAGTCCCCTGCCCCCAGCTCCAGGGCCTGCCCCTCCTAGTCTCAGCCTGGGACTGCATCCAATGTGATCCAGGGCACACAGGACAACAGGTGCAGGTTCTCCCTCCCCTTCCACAGGGGTGGGAAAGGGTAGCCCAGCCCGCCGTCAAGGGCAGGGCCTTGGCCAGCATCTGGGTGCCAGCAGGGCAGGGGCGGGGCTCTGGGGGCATTAGGGCTTTTAAAGGCTCCCCAAGGAGGTTCTTCAGCTCCTGCCTGCCTCTGGACACCTCTGTCACCATGTGGTTCCTGGTTCTGAGCCTCACCCTATCTCTGGGGGGGACTGGTGAGACAGTGGGGGGCTGTGGAGGGGACCAGGGCCCTGACTCTCATGCTTCCCTCACCCCTGTAAGTCCTTCCTCTCCTGCCCAGCACCCCAGCCTTGACCCTCCAGGCCACAGTCACCCTACCCCAGGGATCAGGCGCTTCCTTTCTCTCCCAGTTCTCCACCTCGAGGGGGAGGTCCCTGCTCCTTGCCCCTTCCCCAGATCTTTCTTCTCTTCCCAAGTCCTCAGCACACCTCTCACTCTTTGGGGTTCTCCAACTCTTCCAGGGGAGCTCTAGTCCCATACAGATCCTGGGACCCTGATTATCCCCTCTGACCCCCTCTCTCTCTGCAGTCCGATGGTCTGACTCCTGAATCCCCAGATCCCACCTCACCCAGTGATCCTCCCACCCAGCTGTCAGCAATCCATCTTGTCCTCCAGACCATGACATCAATCCCCTTTCCTCCCAAGCCTCCCAGACCCCACCAGACAACCCTGCTTCCCCAGAACCCCACGCAACACCCCAGTCTTCCCTCCCAGGATGAAAATCCAAGCCCTCCACCACGGGCTCCTTTCCCTAAGAATTCCCATCGCTCCCCAAGCTCCAGCCTTTCCTCCCCAGGAGCAAAGCTCTGCTTCCTGGGACTCCACCCCCAGCTGCACACTACCTCCCTAGTCCGGCCATCCTGCCCTGACCTCCCCAAAGGACCACAATAACCACAATGCGTGATTCTGAAACCCTGCATCGGGCGAGTCCTCCATCTCCACTTCACAGCCGTGTGGCCTTCTCCATGCCTGTCCCGGACAGCCTCCAGATCCCCCAGCACCCTCAGCCCAGGAGAAGCAGAGCCCACCTCTCACCCCATCCCAGAACAACTGTCACCACTCCCTCCAGGGTCCCCATCCCAGTCCTGATGCAGCCTGTTCTCAGGACCACCAGAGGCCATTTTGCAACACAGGAAGGACCCTGAAACCTCACAGGAGCCTCCTCCAGCTTTTATCCTTTTATCCCTGCCCCTTCTTTTATCCTTCAACTTGGAAACCCCAAATCCTAACTCTTCAGCCCAGCTGGTCCCTTCCAGCCTGACCTGGTTCCCCAAATCACCCCCAGATTCCCCTGCCCAGATACACTGTCCTCTCAGACCTGGTTCCCTAACGCCTTCTCCTCTCCTGAACCTCAAAAGCCCAACGCAGGCCCTGCTTCCCCAGCCTAGGAGCCCCTAAACACCTCAAGTTCTTCTTCCAGCTTCTGATTCTCCTGGGACTCCTTTATGGAATCCCTCCTCTGTCCACTCTCCTCCCACCCCTCAGCCCAAGACCCCGTGGCCTGACCTCCAGACCCACGCCTGCCCCTTGTCTTGCTGCCTTCTCCTTCACTCCTGGGGCCAGCTCTGCTCTCAGAGAATGAGGACTAGCCACCCATCCACAAGCTCAGGGGTGACTCTTGAATTTGGGTCCTCTCCCCAAAGCACTTTGCTGCGTCCCCAGGTCCCCAGTCCTGACCCTCTACCCCCATGTCCCTTCCAACCTTCAGCACAGTTCCCTCTAAGCCTCGTCCCCCAACCCTTCCAACAGGCGCTGCGCCCCCGGTGCAGTCTCGGATCATCGGTGGCTGGAAGTGTGAGAAGTATTCCCAGCCCTGGCAGGTGGCCGTGTACCACTACACCAACTTCCAGTGCGGGGGCGTCCTGGTGCGCCCCCAGTGGGTGCTCACAGCCGCCCACTGCATCAGCAAGTGGGTACCAGCAGGGGCTGGGGAAGGAGTCTCGCCCTCCAGAACTGGGCAGCCAGGGCCATTCCCAGGGTGACCTCAGGCAAAGCTGGGCTAGGAGAGTGCTGGCTTTGCAAGGAGGAGCAGAGCTGGGACTGAAGACCCTGTCCCCGCTGTGCCCGTCCCTCAGTACTTGGCTCTGTGTGTGTGTGTCTCTTTCTCTCCGTGCGGGGCTGGGTTCTGGCCTCTGTCTTCCTTTCTTCTCTGTCTCTGAGTCTCTGCCACCATCTCAGGCACTGCATGTCTCCCCCTCCATGTCTCCACCCCTCTCTCTTTCTCTGGGTCTCTGGCTCACTCCTCTCCCCCATCACTACTGGCCCCATTCCCAGGGGGACCCTGAGAAAAGGCAGGCATGCACCCCAACCTGTGTGCCTGGGAGGGGGCTTCCCGCTCTGCCCTGCTTCTCTGTGTGTGACCATCAGTCCCCTCTGGGGAGACACAGGGAAGGGCTGAACTGGAGCTGGGGGGGGGGGCAACAGTGACCTTGGGCTCTGTGCCCAGCTGCCTGCCCTGCTGGGGACCCTGGCCAGCTCTGCAGCTGAGCCGCTCCCAGGCCCCCCCCCAGCTCACCCACTTCCTCTCTGCTCCCTGTTCTCTCTCTTTAACCCTGCACTCGACTCCCACCTTCTCAATTCGCTCTCCTTCCTCTTCCCTTTGGCTGTCCCTGTCCCTGGCTTTTCTCCTCACTTTCTCTCTTTGGGGACCCTCCCCGTGCTCCCACCCCTCCTCTCCTCACTCCCTCCATCCTTTCCCCCCAGCAATTACCAGCTGTGGTTGGGTCGCTCCAACCTGTTTGACGATGAAGACTTGGCTCAGTATGCCCAAGTCAGTGACAGCTTCCCACACCCGCAATTCAACTTGAGCCTCCTGAAGAACCACACCCGCCTCCCCAATGAGGATTACAGCCACGACCTGATGCTGCTCCGCCTGTCGGAGCCCGTGCAGATCACCGATGCTGTGAAGGTCCTGGGGCTGCCCACCCAGGAGCCAGAAGAGGGGAGCACCTGCCTTGCCTCGGGCTGGGGCAGCATAGAACCAGAGAAGCGTGCGTTTGGCCAGACGGTGCAGCCTGGAGCTGGACGCCTGTGGGAGGGAGAGGGTGAGGAGCCAGTTGGGATCCGGCCACAGCCCTTTCTCTCCTTGGCCTGCAGATGTGTACCCAGATGATCTCCAGTGCGTGGACCTTGAAATCCTGTCTAATGAAGAGTGTGACAAAGCCCATTCCCAGAAGGTGACAGACACCATGCTGTGTGCCGGGCACTTGGAAGGTGGCAAAGACACCTGCGTGGTGAGCCAGCCCCTCCCCCAGGGTGTGGGAGGGCTGGGGTCTGAGCTCTTCCGAATCTGAACTGGGGTCTGATAGCTAAGTGTGCATCACTCTTCTGCTGCCCAGCTGCAGCCCCTGCCCCAGAGCCTCAGCCTCCCCCACACCCGCCCTCATCTCGCCCTCCACGGTGTCCCCGCTGGTCCTCTGCAGGTGTGGATGTCTAGTTAGAAAGCTCCCTGGAGAGTGAGCTCCAGGACACATACCCCCAGTGTCTCCTAGCTGCGCCTACTGCTTCCTTGCCGCCAGGTCTGCAGGCACTGTCCTCCTGGACCATGCACCCCCCCCTCCGCCCCCCGCCCTGTGCAGGAGACAGACTCTGTGTCCTCTTGGCCAGCAGTCTGTCCCTCTGTTGGAGCCCCTGCCCGCCTTCTTCCAGGAGTGGGCTCTGGAATCCCCAGGTCTGAAAGCTGGCTTGTAGCTGGAACCCAGGCCCTGCAGACCCTTCTTACTCCCTCTCCCTCTCATATTCCCAGGGTGACTCGGGAGGCCCACTGGTCTGCAATGGTGAGCTACAGGGTGTCACGTCATGGGGCCATGTCCCATGTGGAAGTCCCAAAATGCCTGGCATCTACACCAAAATATCTACGTATTTGACTTGGATAAACGACACCATAGAGAACAACTCCTGAATGTCCCACGTTGTGTCCCAGTCTCAGTAAAACTGAATATGCATCAAATGAGCGTAAAGTTCTGGCATGATTTGGCCTTCCAGATGTTGGGTGGGCACCTCCATGCTCAGGAGCCACAGAGCAGAGGTTAGAACTTCCCCACGGGTCCCAGTCTTGAGAGCAGTCATGAGCAGGCAGAGGACAGAAAAGGGCCCTGACCAAGGTAGACCAACAGGCAGGCGAAGGCTCAGACCCCAAAGGGCAAATCAGGAGCACAGCCATTAGTTCATGCCGGGCCTGACCCTAACCTGGGAGGGCAGGTGCGGCCAGGGAGAGTCAGACAGGCAGAGGCTGGAGAGCCTCAGGTTTTATTGTGGCAGGAAGCCAGGAGGGGCTGTGGGAGGCGCTCTAGGGAGAGACTTGTTGCGCAGAAGGGTGAGGCTACACCAAGTGCAGGGCGTGGAGTGTCCTCCGGAGCAAGAGCGACGTCCACATATCAGGTGGAGCGGGACCTCTGGGAGGGGAGTTCTGATGTGTACTGCCAGGGCTGAGAGGACGGCCAGAGAGGGCTGGGCACCAGGGGCGGGGCTACTCAAATGGCCACACTTCTGGGGCTTGGCAGGACACGGTGGACCAATCAGAGCGGCAGAACCCCAGGACTTCCATGGCAGGGGGCCTTAAGAAGACCCAGTGGGTGGAGACAGAGCCGCAAAGGGTGGACCCTAAAACAGGGGGCAGGGCTTGCCCTTGTCTTCAGAGGGCAGGTGGCCTGCAGTCAGCCAGCGGGGCCTCCTGGGAGGTCTCATCTCTGGAAAGTGGCCACGCTGCCCAGGCCGGCCTGGCCCCAACAGCCGTTACCAGTGACCCGAGAAGCTTGGGTGTTACTCCTTGGAGGAACGTAGGCGACCGTCCTTGCTGGCGCTTAGGCGGGGCAGGTCCAGGACCTGGCACGAGCGCCTCAGCGGACACTGCTGCGAGGCCCACCGGCGACTGCTGACCGGCCGCTCCAAGGAGGACGTGTAGCGGCTCCATACGCCCACTTGGTTTAAGTAGGACAAGATTCCTGGGAGAGGGGGCTGGGTGGGCGCTGGACTCTTCACTCCATCCTAGGCCCGCCACCTCCCTCCAGGCCAGCTGCCTCTGGTTCTCCCTGGGCTCCCCCCTCTGCCCTGCCAACGCCCTGCCCTTCTTTCAGAGCCTTGCGCTCACCGGCCCACAGCATCAGGGCGCTGGCACACCAGCACAGGTAGAAGGTCACCATGTAGGATACCTGTGGCCTTGGGCGCAGTATCTGGCAGTTGACTACAAAAAGCGTCAGGCTGAGGAAAATCAGGAGCCCTGCACTGGGGTGGGGCCAGAGATGGCAGGAGACTGGACAGTGACCCCCAGGAATCACGGTGGGAGAAGAGAGAGAGACTTCCTCTCCCACCCTCTAGGACAAGCAAAGAAACGGGCATGCTTGCACACAGGACAGACTGACGCCTGGAGGGAGGGGAAGGGAGGAAAAGAGAAAGACAGTGGCAAAGAAGGGATTCCCACACGCGGCTGACAGAAAGAACAGGCTGAAATACACACAAGGTTTGGGCCCAAGAGACACCCCAAGGCCAGCAGACAGTGAGCCTCGTCAAGGCAGGAGGTTGGGGGGCACCCTCTACCCTGCCACTCACCAATGCCGATGCTGAGGGAGCTGAAGACGAAGTCCAGCTTGCTCAGGCGGCGGAAGAGCGGTCGGAAGGAGAGGCTCATGGAGAGGAGGAGGATGAGGCACAGGGCCATGGCCAGCATCATGAGGCCCTTACTCATGTGAATGAGAACTAGAGAAGTGGTGACAAGTACCACAGTCACCCCCAGACACTCAGGCCACCTTCCAAAGCACACTGACATCCATAAGCAGCCCAATAGGCACCCTAGGTCTGATCACAGATAGCCTCAAAATCACCCCTAGAAACTCCAGAAACAGTTACCATTGGCCACCTTCAGAGAATCTCCTGAGACACCCCCAATCCTAAGATCCTCCCCCAGAAACTCCCGGAGACCTCCACCCTCAGTCACTTCCAGGATACATCTGGAGGCCTTGTAGCCCATGCAGGGTAACTGACCTGTGACCTGGCCAATGTCGGGACACTTGTGCCTCCTGCAGTTGGTCCAGAAGCCCAGGTAACCAGTGTAGGAGCCCTGCAAGTAGGCCATCTGCCCATCCACCACGCTGAACACCATCAGGGCAGAGAGAATGATGAAGACGAGAGACCAGCCCCGCAGGATGAACTTGCGGTCCTCCTCCCAGGAGAGCTGGGCTGCCGGGGCAGAAGAGAGTTCTGGGGGCTGGATCTTCTCCATCACTTTCTTGTATTCTAGTCTCCATTCCCAACCCAAACCAAGCTCACCTTTCATCCCAGTCTGAATCCCCTCCCATCCCCCCCAACCACAACCACCCCCCACCTAACCCATACCACAACCACAGCCTCATCGCCGACCGTTCCTGTCCCACCCCCATCTCTACACTACCAGCAGCCCATCCCACTCACATTATTCTCCCCTTCCTAACCCCTAGCATAGCCCCATCCCCACCTCCAGTTCCAGACACATCCCCATTCCCATCGCTAACTCTGATGCCAATCCCATAATCCCATCCTAAGCTCCAGCCTGCTTGTGTCCAACCCCATCCTCAGGTCCCTGTTCCCCAAACTCCAGCTCCGACTCTGCTCTCAACCGCATCCACTTATCTCCATCCCTCCCTCAAACCTCAGGCCAGGGCACTATGACACCAGTTTCAAGGTGTATTCCTGAGGGCAAGAACCATGGGGTCCAAAAGGGACCCAGATGCTGTACCGCTCCTGCCACAGATGCTTTTGATCCTACCAACCTTCCCTTTGCCATTCAAGTCCCACCTCCCATGAGAGGGCAGTCCTGGTGAGAAGCTGGTGGGAGGCAGGGTGGGCTTGGCACTATTAGGCTGAGATGGGAGCACTAGCAGTGCCGCTTCTATGATTCCCACTTCAGACTCACAAACTGGGGCAGAGAGCAGAGAAATAACAGCTGTAATGGAAGCAGACTGCTGTTGACCTTCACAGATCCACACCCAAAGACCTGGAATTGTCAGGGGCAAAACTGCCTGACTGGACTTTCCACTAGCTGAGGTCTCACAGCAGTGTGCCCAAGGAGAGGAAGACAGATCACCGTGTGTGTGTGTGTGTGTGTGTGTGTGTGTGTGTGTGTGTGTGAGAGAGAGAGAGAGAGAGAGAGAGAGAGAGAGAGAGATATGTTAAATAATGGTTGTATGGATGGAGACACAGATATAAAGACAGAGATATATCCGCAGATTTTTTCTTCTTATCTCGTCTTGTACAAATTGTATTTTGCCTTTTCTAAATGAAATTAGTTCTTACTTTCCCTTTTATACAAAGAAAAAGTCTATACTAGAATTATGAAAATACTGCTGGCAGTATTTTCTGAAAATAAACATCAATATCCTTTTTAAAAAGTCATTTCTACTTAGTTCAGAATTTCTAATAAATTACCAAATGAATATTATTAAAAAGAACTAGAAACAAACAAACATAAAAGTCACTGCAATGTGATGTTTGGCCTAGGCAAAATAATCATACTAATAGTTTATTCTCTCAACAAACACTTATTGAACAATACCATGTGCTAAAACTTGTGCCAAATGCTAGAAATAGAACTGAAAGTCAGCCCTTAGGGAGCTCACGAGGAATCAGAAAGGCAGGCATTACACCAAAAATCACACAAGTATATCAAGACCAAATGTGATAAATGCTGACAGCTGAACTAATCTAAATGTCCAACAGCAGGGGATTGGTTGAGAACACAACAGTCCAGCAGTGGGTAGCAAAGTCTGATAGTCCTCCACTTATGCTCTGGAACAAAAGCTGAATAGAGCAGAAGCTGAACCCTAACTGAGCAAGAGCAGGCCTAGAATGAAGGCTTTATTACCAGGTTCCCTCACTTCTCAGTGGCCATATGACTGAGTGCTGACGAATGGGGTATGAATACAAGTGTTTCAAGCTCTAAAAGGGAAGGTCTTATAATTTCCCTTCTCTCTTTCCCTGGATGGAATGTGAACAGGATAAAGGGTTAAGCAGACATATGGAGGGTAAAGTAAAAAAGACAGAAGGAACCCAGGCCCCTGCACTCACAGGGGAAAGAAAGAATTCTTCAAAATATAAACCACTGTTACTTCATTTGAGACCCTGTTCCAGGTGCCAAACAAATCTCTCAACAATCCACAACAGAAGACCACATCTCACTGATTGCAAAATGCACATTTTTTGACATTTTTTAACCCTCCTGAAACTGGAATGCATCATATCATCAATAGTATCTCAAAATCACCTTTGGTTATTTTTTTATTACAACATCAAGTAATGCCACCTAGATGCTCTGTGAAACACAATGTTATATAGTCATCAAAATCTACTAACAGGCCGGGTGTGGTGGCGCATGCCTATAATCCTAGTGGCTCAGGAGGCTGAGGCAGGAGGATTGCAAGTTCAAAGCCAGCCTCAGCAACTTAGCAAGGCTGTAAGCAACTCAATGAGACACCATCTCTAAATAAAATATAAAAAAGAGCTGTGGGTGTGGCTCAGTGGTTAAGAGCCCCTGGGTTCAATCCCTGGTACCAAAAAAAAAAAAAAAAAAGAAAGAAAAGAAAAGAAAAAGAAAAAAAAATCTACTATCTAATAACAGGGGGCTGGAGAGATGGCTCAGTGGGAGAGCACTTGCCTTGCATGCTTGATTCCCTGGATTCCATCTTCAGCACCTCAAAGAGGGGGAAAAATCTAATGACATAGATATTCATGTAATTAAAGACATTTAAAAGTTTGTGGTTCTTTTTTTTTTTTTCCTCAGAAGATTATCACAAGCCAAAGGAAAGAATGGAGGACAGGGATTGGAAAAGTCCCCACCCCTCACCAGTAGGAGAGGTCACACAGCTTGGGGCACCTGTACCCCTAGTGACCCCTCTTGATCCCCAAGCCTTGGCTGAGTCTTCCTCCTCTCCCCAACCCTAAATTGCAGGTCTTTGAGAGCAAGCAGCGGGCCTTCTCTGCAATCAGGGAGAGACAGAAGGAGCAAGAGAGGAGAGCTATGGGGAGTGGAGAAGGCCACCAAGGGAGGCTGGCGCAGAAGCCCTGGGAGGGGTGAGGAAAGAGGCTGGACCAAGAGGGATTACAGAGGCAGGTCTCAGGCCCTCTAGAAATTGTCAGAGTTCATCAGCTCTGACCAGCCCGGACCCCAGCCTCTGTCATCCCTGCCACCTCCACTCCGACGGCTCTCACTGACCCAGCCTACCCCTTCCTGATCCAATCGTGACTCCACTCAGACCCCATACTGAGCCCAATCTGACCCAGCCCAGCCTCCAAGTCACTCAGAAAGGGTGGGGTAAAGACTGAGGCCTTGGCCAACGACCTAACCTCCTGGAACCCCTCCAACTGTCATAGAACCTCCCCCCAACACAACCCTCCCCAGCTGTGGGCCAGACTGAATCCCTGAGCCTGGTCCTGGGAGAGACCAGGAAACAGACAAAAAGACAGAGAGATGCAAATGCCAAAGGGCCGCTCCTGAACCCCAGAGAGAAACCAGCCGGCTTCCGGGGGGCCATGGAGGTGCCCAGAAGGAGGGGCTGAGGCAGTACCGGTGGCTGAATGCACTGGGACTGGCCTGATGCGGCGCCTCCACATGTCCCAGAAGCCTCCACCCGACCAGCAGAGCGCTCAGCCAGCAGCTCCCAACAGCACCCACGCTGAGACCCGAAGCTCTTTGTCAATTGACCTTGATCCCCAAGTCCATACTCAAGAGTCTCCGCTCGCCGTCAGCACTCCAAGGGTCAGCAGCCCAGAGCCTTCTCACACCACTGGCATTCTCAAGGTCCACCACCAAGAGCCTTCGTCCACCCCCAGCGGTCGCCGGGTCAGCATCCAAGAGCCTCTGCCATCCCTCAGCGGTCGCCGGGTCAGCATCCAAGAGGCTCCGCCATCCCCCAGCGTGCGCCGGGTCAGCATCCAAGAGCCTCCGACATCCCCCAGCGTGCGCCGGGTCAGCATCCAAGAGCCTCCGCCATCCTTCAGCGGTCGCCGGGTCAGCATCCAAGAGCCTCCGACATCCCCCAGCGTGCGCCGGATCAGCATCCAAGAGCCTCCGACATCCCTCAGCGGTCGCCGGGTCAGCATCCAAGAGGCTCTGCCATCCCTCAGCGTGCGCCGGGTCAGCATCCAAGAACCCCTGTCAATTTTGCAGAGTCACCAGATCAGTAGCCACGAGTCTTACCCAGATAGCAGCCATCGCCGGTTTAGTATCCAAGACACACCATCCATTACCTACAATAGCTGGGTTGGTGCCCAAGATGGTCAACCAAATCAGCACTTGAGCACCTCCCTGACTGAAATCCAATCAGTTAGCAGCTATAGTCAAACCAATTTTGAAAATTTCCAGACAATAGAGAGAACCCGCCAAACATTCAAACAAAACCGGCTCAGTGTTGATGTCCCCCCATCCATTACCCACAGCCCTGAGGCCAGTATCAAAAGTATTGAATCAATTGTCTGGGGTTCCCAGGAGAGTTTCAAACAATATGTGCACAGCCCCCAACTCAGCCAAATCACTCTGGACAACATTCACAACTATATGCCCCGGTACTCCACCGGAATCGGTTCCTCCAGGTGAGAGGCAGGGACCCCAGCAGACCAGTCTGGGCTAGAATTTTGAGGGGTGGGCAGCAGTCAAAGGTCAGGGACTAGCAGCATAGCTGGTGCATTAGAAATTGGAGGGTGTGACAGGCCTTGGAAGTCGTACCTCCAGGCTGGTCCTGAATGGGACACTGCATCCAGTGAGATCTGGAATGGACACATGATAGAGAGGGTCTGAAGGCTGGGTCTGGGATGCCTGGGCAGGGTGGCTGGACTCAGTGCTGACGATGATGGTGTATGATCTGATTCAGGTTTCAGGACAAATGGAGCCGCCAATCACTGCTGCCCTTAGGCTGGCGACTGCTGCATGAGGCCAGGAAGATCAGCCGCCAGCTGAGCCTGGTGCTGAGCCTGGCTGGCATGGTGATCATCAGTCTCATTTCTCTGGGCCAGCCCTGGATGCACTTCCAGGTGCCACTGAAGCCGCCAGGGGACCCCGATGGCCCGCAGACCATCCCCATCAACACCATCTTCTTTATGCAGTGCCCCGACGTTGTCTGCATGTATGAGTACGACCAGAATGCTTGTAAGGCCCGCCCCTCCTCACCACCCTGGGACTCATCTCTCCCAGGAACCCGTTCTCCTGTCCTAAAATGTTTTTTCCCTTCCCTGGGATGGTCCTCACTGCCCACCCTACTTCCTACTACCCAATAACCTGTCCTTTCTGACCCAGAGGTGGATACTGAATGCTGGAGGTACCAGCCTCAACACTAGTCCTCTAGAGCCCAATTTCAATTTTCCTAACATGAGAAGCATTTCCACGGGAGGGGGTAGAGAAAACTCCCACTCCCTCTCCCCTGTGCTCAGAGGCGAAAAGACAGTCTTGGTGTTTCTGGTTCTCTTCCTTCCCCAGACTTGCTGGACCTTTCCTGGGCCTTCCTCGTTATCTCCAGTATCACCGGCTTCTGCCTCTGTGTGGCTCTAATAAGCACCTTCTTCTTTACCAGCTCCAACCTGCCCATGCTGGACTTCTTCCTCTTCATCAGCAGCATCATGACAGGCACAGCACTAAGATTCTTCCCTCAGGAACCAAGGCGAGGAGTATCTTGCCCAGTACTGACCATGGAACCCAACCCCATCTCCACCATACTCCTCATCTTTATCCCCAACCCTAATCCTATCTCCTTACAAATCTCCAACTTATCCCAATAAAAATATCAACCTTCAACCCAACTCTACATTCAGACCCAATATCAAGCTCAACTTTAACTCTTGCCTCCATTGCCAACAAATCTCAAACTCATCCACATCCTCCACTGTAGATCCATTCCCATCCCCACCCCATCCCAACTCTATTTTCTTTTCAAACCAATCCCATAACTATCCCCAACCTTTTTATAAATCTCAACACCCAACTTATTCCCATTCCTGATTGTGCTCAACATTTGTTTCAAATTCAGCCCAATCCTATCACCTGTGAACTTCAACTTCAGTCCATCTCCACCCCCACCTCTACCACCTATGAACCTCACCCTCAAATCCAACGCAACCAATTCCCAACTCCATCCTTTTATCCATTTCCAATCCATCCTCTTCCCAAACACAACCCATCACCATCCTCAACCACAATCCCATTCCTACACAACCTCAGCTCCAGCCTCTCCCTGATATCCAATCCCATCCCAAATCCTGTCCCACCACCACTGCTCTCTGATTTTGGTAAAGCGACTTCCTCTTTCTGAGCCACTTTTCTCATCTGTGGGTTGAGGATAAAATTTCCTACCATATGGAGATGTAGTGAGGACTGTATTGGATGTCAGTATTGGACATGAAGGTGATCTGGTTGCCACGTCTGTCACCCCATTGATTGGTCAGGGTGGGATAGGCTGGTCTGGAAGACTAGGTGTGTGTCCACTTCCTCTCACTTCATGTGTGTTCCTCCAAAGCTGCATGCTCAGTAGAAGAGGATGACCCCCTTTAATGGAAAAGGGCTGCTTTCTGGTCAAGGGAATATGAACACTGTGCTTCCCTGCTAGGCCCCCAGAACAAACTCTCAGGGCCCATCTATAGGGTAGTCAAGTCCCCAAGACTGCAGACATATCCAGATGAGGTTCTTCATGTAGCAATCTGCCTTTCAAAAGCAAGGAAAAAATTGTCAATACTTGATGCCAGCTATTTAACTTTGCACAAATCCTTACCAAGAAAATCCTCTCACCCGATCCAAATAACACAAAATTGATATACTGATTTAAATGTTTAGTTTCCATTTGCATGCCACAGTTGCAAAAAGTGTGTGTGGGGGGGAGGATTTTGCTCTGGAATGAGGAATGTTGTCTTCCTGTCAGTTGTAGTAATTGACCACAACTTTCAGTTGCTTTGGGAAAATATTTTTGGACACTGATGGTACAGCCAAGAATAGAGACCTCTCAACTTCCTGTTTCCTTGTTAGAAACTGGTATTTATCCACTTTGTCTACTAGCTTATCCTAACTGTTTAAATATAAGGTACAAATAGCAGAAGCCACCTTAATTTAAAACATCTAAAAGAGGACATTCTTCTAAAAGAAAATCATTTCTGTCCATTCCCTCTTTGGGGGGACAGATGGGGGACACTGAGGGTTTAACCCAGGGGCAATTTACCACTGAGCTATATCCCCAGCCCATTTTTTTTTATTTTGAAACAAGGTTTCACTAAGTTATTTAGGGCCTCACTAAGTTGCCAAGGCTGACCTTGAACTTGCAATCCTCCTGTCTCAGCTTCTTGAGCAGCTGGGATTGCACCCATGTACCACTGTGCCCAGCTTCCTTCTTTTAACTAAATAGAGAACATCTCCTATATTATTTTTCTGTAACACAAATTAGCCAGTACTCCACAATCTGAAAAAGTCTTTCCTTTTTATAAATTACCTTTAATTCATAACATTTCAAATTATCCAGAATGATTGAGATCTTTGTTGTTTCAAAAGACCAAAAATAAGGACTTAACATAATGATAATCCATCTTTGAGGAATTACTATGTGCCAGGCAATGTGCTGATCACAATATCTCCTCATGTTAACCTTACAGGATGGGTACTATGATATGCCCACTCTTCGGATTAGAGGCTCAGAGAGATGGAGTGGTTGCCCTAAAATGAGGTGCAGAGGCAGGATAAGAGACCTGGTCTGTTAGTACAAAAGCATATGGGTTTCCTCAATATTGTTGCTTAGTTTTTAAAGACCAAGACTTGACTTCTGATACCCTCTAGTATGATATTGTCAGGAGCCAGTTCTCTCCTTGTAAGCAGAGATATAAAGGTTGGGGAGTTCAAAAAAAGAGGGGGAAATAATAAATCAGCTCAACTCTGAGCAGGGGTTCTCACACACCTGATTCCTGGTCTACTAACATCTGTATCCATGCAGGGGCCAGTATCATATTGGGCGTCCTGTTCTACCTGATGCAGGCCCACGAGTTCCTGCAGGAAGGCATGACCTACAAGCTGGGCATCAGCTTCTATCTGGCATGGACTGCTGTCTTCTTATTCCTGATGAATGGTCTGAGTTGGGATGGGTTGGGTTCAGGCATGCAAATATGTATTGTGTGAGATAGTTTGGGATGGCAGTGGGGTTGCAGACAGTGTTAGGTAGGGTGGTTTTGAGGTGTGAAAATGGGGTTTAGGACACACATGGGGCTGGATGTGGGATTGGTTTTGAGTTTAAAAGTTGGTTGGGGGACAGTGTAGGAGATAAAGCCAAGTTTGGATTTAGGGATGGGTTTGGAGATAAGTTAAGGAGTGAGGAAGGGTTTGGAGATAAATTAAGGAATGAGGATGGGTTTGAGGATGGGATTGGATGCGGTGTAGGATACATGATTGGGGTTAATCTAGTGAACTCTGTATCTCACTCTGTCATCTTCCTCTCCCAGGTTTATTCTCCTATCTGAATTATATGAATTTCTGGTCCATCCTGGCGATCCAGGCCATCTGGGCTTAGCACATGGGAATGAGCCCACAAATGGCCTGCTCTCATGGCTACTTGTCAAGCACCTGACAACCCTGCTGTCTAGCCCCCACCCCCACCAAGAGTCTTGTATTTTTTTTAGTCTCCTCTGACCTCCCCCCAAACTCAAATTAATAACCTATATTTTGAAATAACCTGTATTTTCTGCCCGGAATATTCTTTATTTAGTTCCGTTCCTTGAAAGCATTTTGTGGAACTGCTATCTTTCTGATGCAGCCATTCTTGGGTTCTCTAGGTTTGGAGGGACAGGGAAGGAAAGGGACTCAGAGGTAAGGGACCAAGGCACAAGATCAGCAGGGACTGGACAATGATCCCTGGCATACAGATGATGTCCAATCAATGTTTATGTTAAGAGCTGATTCTCTCCCATGCCTTTTGTCTTCAACTTTGACTTCTGCAATCCCCAATAATTTACCCTTTTTGAGGTAATTCTCTCTCCACCTTTAATTCATCTCTCTCCCTTAGTAGCAGTCTGACACCCACCCTGTCTTTCTTTTTCCCCAAGTCCCTTGACACAAGGCTCTTCTATGTAGCAGTTTTTTGAAGAAAGTTTGGGGCTACCACTTGTTGAACAAGGCAGGGTTGAAATACAAATACAAAATTATATCATTGCCCAGGTCCCCCCACAGGACCTCACCCTCGAGCTCCCCTTTATCTCCTCACAGAGTGGTCAAGCTGCCAGGCTTTTGGTCTGGGCTTTGCCACTTAGTAGCTCTGTGACTGTAGCAAGTTGTTGAACCCATTTGGGTCTAGGTTTCCTCATCTATAAAATGGGGGTAATGATAGTACATGAATCTAGGTAGAATTTGACAAAATGCCCCCAGAAAATGTGCTCCTTCCAGGTGTTTATGATAACCTTCCTTATCTCCTGCTATAATTCCCCAAATCCATTCTTTTTAAAATAGATGGAGCCACAACTATGTGCCAGATACTGGATCTATAGGACTGATCAAACTAGACACAAATCCTTATCATTGTGGAACTGACATTTTAACAGAGAGGCCAAAAAATATTAACCATAAACAAATAGGAAATAATATGTTAGGGTATAAGTGCTATAATAAAATAAAGGAGTATAAGAAATATGGGGCTAGGAAGGAGGGGGCCTGACTGGAGTGGAGGCAAGGCAGGGGACTCTATGCTAAGCTGACCTGAGCACAGACATGACTGAGGGATGAGAGAGCCATGTAGACTGGCAGAGTTCTAGGCCCATTAAGACAGAAGTGCAAAGGTCCTAAGTTGAAATGTACTTGGCAGGTCCCAGGAACACCAGAGAGACCAAGAAAGGGAGAGAGGAAGAAGATAAGTGCAGAGAGGGAACAGAGAGGTGAGATCACTCAGAGCCTTGTGGGTCACAGTGAGAACTCTGCTTTTGCTTTGGAGTGAGGAGTGACAGAAACGTCTCGTTTCCGAAAGGCGGAAACCTAGTCTTTTCCTTTCACTTCAGACCACCTAGGTCCATGCAAGGAATCTCCTCATCTGAAGGAAGAAAGCAATCCAGATGACCAGGGAGACCAGCTAAAGAAAGTATGTACTATTCACGCAAAAGATCAAAGTATTTCCATATGTCCTTATGTTGTGGGGACAAAAGAGGCAAGGCACCGAAGGTAGCAGGAAAACAGTTTTATTTGGCTGCAGCCAGGTTCAGAGGGTACAGCCTTTGCTGTAATCAATCAATCCTCTGAACCCCGAATACAGGTAATTTCAGAGTTTTATACCCAGCATGTAAGGGGAGGGGCTCAGAAGTTCACAGTCTGCAGAAAGTTCACACAAAAGCAGCTTTTTCCTTCGCTGTTTTGGGCAAGTTAATACTTCAAGGACAACACTTGAGAAAGGAGAGCTTCTTCTCCCCTTTCTTTCTTCCCCTGCCAGCTGTTACCATGGAGCCCAATTGGTATCTTCTCTTAAAAAATGTAGACATCTCTGTGAAGCCCAGCTCAAGGCCAGAAGCCTCCTTAGCACATTTCTACAAACTACTATACTGGATACATTTGTGAGAAATTATTAAGGGGGTGCCCAGCACTTGGAGTGCTGGTATCTTCCTGGCCGGTGGCCAAGCAAAACAGGGCAACAGGAAAATGGAAATTTATCCATATTGAACTTTTTCCCAGAGACTCTTTGGCTGACAGTCCTGAAATCAGCCATGGTGAGAATTCCTGGAGAAGCCCAGTTAAGGCATTTTCTCTGGAGAGAGGGGGTGCCACTTCACTTACACCGGAAGACTGTTTGTGGGGCAAACTAGAACGGAAAAAATCATCTGTATCTCTGCGTGTGTGCGCGCGCGTGCCTGTGTGTGCGCACGTGTGTGTGTCCAAGTACAAAGTCCACACCCAAAAGGTGATGGTGGCAACCTCTGATGAGTAGGTCTGGAGTGGGAAAGTTTCATTAACTTTCAAAATAAACATCTTTAGAATCACGTTCATTGAAAGACACTCCCTGAATCTCCAACCCCTCAAAGAATCCAGGACCCCAGGCCTAGAACCACCTAAACGGTGGGGAGCTCCAAGTCCAGTTCTTCTTCAGATTCTAAACCAAACTAAGGGTTGGGGCCCTGCCCTCCTCACAGAGACCCCAAAGTCCCACCTCCCCGCGCCGCGTCCTCGCCGCGGCCCCACCTCTCACCGCGGGGTTGCGCCTCTAACTCTGCGCCACGCGGTGCTTTCCCAGCACCGTCCCCTGTCAATCTCTGCACTGGCTCCGCCTCCCACTATGCGGCTGAGACCCACTTTGGGCCCGCCTTTCAGCGCCGGCCCCGCCTCTGCAACCGCAGCTCCACCACTGCCGCGCTGGCAATTCCCGTTGCTTCCCTTTCTGGCTCCACCCACCCTCGGGGGCCTTTCTTTTGGCGGCCCTCGTTTGGAGCTGTCCCCAGAATTGCCTGACGCGCGAGACAAGATTTTCGTAATAGGTGTTCCCTTGAACCTGTTTTTTCCCGCCTCTAGAAACAATATCTTCCCGCTTGTTCTGGAATATTCTAGGGACGACCGCCGTTTTTCCTTTCCTCAACTCCAAGGCCGAGTTCCCGACACAGGCGCGTACCTTTGGGTGCCCCAGGGCGGAAACCAGACTGACGCCGGGGGCCGAGCCTTGAGTGCGGCGCGTACTATAAAGCGGGACTCGCTGCGGCGCGCGCACGTTTTGCGGAGTGGAAGAAGCAGGTGAGATGGTGCTTTCCGCTCCGCGCGCCTCTCGGTCTGTGCGGCCGGGCTCTGGGATGCACGTGTCGCGAGGTGTCCTGGGCTGCGGCGAGAGTGGCCGTGTCGCGTGGACGGGGTCTCGGTTTCTTTTGGGCCTCGTCGAGGGCGCTGCGGGTTGAGCCTGGAGATCTAGTGCGGGGAGGGTGGAGGCGATTCCTTCCACCAGGTGGGTCGGGCGCGGGGCGGCGGGGCGGGCCTTTCTTTGTCTGCAGCGCGGATGGGCTGCGCCATTTCTGTGCCCACGTCGCGGGTCTCCGCCATCTTGTCGGTTTTGCGGGCAGCTGACGGGGGTGTGTGACTTGAGGGGCGGAAGAGAAGAGGGTGTTGGGGTTTCTGTAAGGGCAGAGACGACATGCCGACTTCTCAAGGAAGAAGTGGGTCTCCAGGTAGAGCAGAAGGGAGATGAGGCCTTTGCTCACCTTCAAGAATTCTGACGGGTGGTGCAAATGTCAGAAGGTGGTGTTAACTTGAATTCAGGGCTTGAGTCCTTAAGGTCTTCTGTAACTTAGTTTTCAAGACCCTGCCTTGGAGCCCCAGCCTGGAGTGGGCTACCTGATTTTAATCTTAATGTATTTGCAAATAAAGTTTGTAATTAACCCAAAATACCTCAACACTTGTTCCCTAAGGCTGACGTACTGTGTGTTAATGAAGCCCATTTCTTCATATGGTTATTTGCGATTTTCTTAGTGTTCAGTATTCCTAAGTCATCTTAAATGACTCGCAGCAGATTTGTTCAAACCTGACACCGTCGTTGCATATGTTGCTTAGCTTTATTTTCTCCCAGAACATTTCCTTTTCTCGTGCCTCCTACTAAAGGATTTGCATCTTAGCAATGTTCATGGTTCAGGGTCATTAGTAGGTATAGCTAGTTCAGGAAAGATTGGGGCCCTCTGCGTGTTAATGAGTTTGGAGGTCCATCTCAAGACCACTACTGTGTGGAAGTATGACAGTGAGAAGTTGGGGGTCAGTTGAGTCTTGTGTTTTCCTGTCTTTGAAGGTAAGTGGCCTTGATTGCACAGGGGCCAGGGTTCCCATGATGTCTAGCACTGGGCTCTGATCATTCCTGAGGACACAGTGCTCTCCAGGACCTTTGACACCTGGGGGTCTGAGGAACCCTGGTTTTGATGGTCTGGACATATGAACAGTTTCTTCCACACCCTCATCAAGTCCTTCCTATGTTACAGGTCTACCTTCTAGCTGAGGGGTTACCCACCATCATCCCGTCTTGGTAAGAAGCCTTGCTCCAATGCCCTGATTCATCCAGGTCTAAATTACAAGATGTCTTACACATGTGCCAGCAGTCTTACTCAGTATTACATATTAAAACCATTTTATAGCCATGGGAACCCAGTCAGCTACTTATACATCCAGACCCTAGTTCTGCTGTTCCTTGGCTTATAGAGGTCATTTGCTGTATTCATAAGGTGGGTGCATCTTCAGGAGCAGATGGTCTGAATCCTTTGCACAGTTGGGTGGTGCTGGGGGCATTTCCTGCTTTCCAAAGGCAAAGGGTTGAATAAGATGGGGAAGAAGAAAAGTCTTTGGGTTTTAAGGAGAAGGAGTAATCAAAAACTTTTCAGACTGAACAGAGGAAATGAAACATTGACTCAGCATTATTATTGCCTCTCATGTTGCAGGTTTTGTGGACTGGGTACAGTGTACCTTTAAGCAAAACAGTAGCTTACAGTCAAACATTTGGATATAATTTGATAATTGAAGGAACCCTAAATTTACATAATAGCCATTGTAAAAATATCAGGATTTATCTTGAATGTTTTGTGTTTAAAAGAGCTACATCATAAGATAGGTATATATTTGTCATTGGAAAAGAAACGAGTGTTCTCAGATCCAGGATTTTCTATTGCTCTTGGGGTGTCGAGAGTAGGGAGGACAATGGCTGCAATGAAATAGACCTGAAAGTGTATCTCTGTGCTCTTGGAGACTTAAGACTTTTGATAATCCAGGTTGTCCCCTGCAGAGCACTGAACAGGTATGGATGTGGGGAAGTCCTGGAGAAAAGGAGTCAGCATGGTGCTATTTGGGCAGGGATGTCAGGTGAGCAGAGGAAAGAAACACCTTGAGAAACATGAACTCTGAGCTCTACCAGAGTCCCAGTGGAAGGTTGAGGCCCTGTTCTGGTTTTCACAGAAAAGTCCTGGTGAGGTCACTTTCCAAGTTAGAGTAACTGGTGGTGCCAGGTAAGCTGCAAGACTTGGTTAGGGAAAAAGCAGACCTGGGCTTCGGATCTGCCACTTGCCTGTAGGCTGCCCATAAGTACCTCCAGTCCAACCTTCCATGTGGAGGAGTGGCCTCAGGGTGGCTTAGGTTATTTGACTGCAGATCATCTGAATAAGGGGGTAACACCAGGACCCCTGTGATGTCTAGCACTGGGCTCTGACCATTCTTTGAGGATAAGGTGCCCCCCAGGACCTTTGACACCTGGGGGTCTGAGGGGTCCTGGCTCCTGGTAGGGGATGGATTGGGATAACAATGATTTACCTGTACCTCATGGACCTTTTTTCCCTCCCCTTCTCCTTTCTGTCTACAGGTGGCTTCTCCAGGTGTCCTGCTGCCCAGCTTTCCCTCCTGGTAAGGGCAGAGGAGCTGCCTGTTGGTAGGGAGTGCAGCTCAGCATCCTGTACTTTGAAGCAGTGGCTTCCTTAATCTCCATAGTAACCCTGTGCTGGGAGGGCTGTGCTGGGCCTGGGTTGCTATCCTATCAGGGTTGAGCTTGGGGACCCCATGATATTCAGCACTGTGCTCTAACTGCCCCTGAAGATACAGTGCCATCCAGGACCTTAGACACCTAGGGATCTGAGGGCCCCCACTCCAGGGAGGTGCTGGGTGGGGTGTGGCTTTTTCTACTTCCAGCTTTTGCAGCAGTGCCCTTCCTGACCCTCTTGCTCTTCCCTGCCTTGGGGCAGCTGTGGCCATGGCTGAGAGAGTGCTGGCACCCACCCAGATGGGCCGGGGAGACCGCTACTATACATATACTGAGCTCCTGGCCATTTCTCGGCGCTTCAAGCAGAACCCCAACGAGCTTATGATCACCTGGATCCTGCGGGTGTATGACCAGGGGGGCCCAGCTCTGTCCTTGAATTCTGGGGAGCTGGCACTGCTGGGTGACCTAACCCATGATGCCATCTTCAACTACCACTGCAAGACGCTGCGGGGTGGCTGTAAGACACTGCTCACCTGGCTACTACAGGCCTGGCGCCAGCGCTGGGAATCCTTCCTGCACTTTGAGGCCACTGAACTGCCTTTCCGTCCCTGGACCACTATGGAGGAGGGCATCCAGCTGGTGCGTGAGCTGGGCATGCTCGACTGGATCTACCGCGAGCTGCCTTCGCCACTCTCACCTCCTGAGCCCGAGTATGCAGCGCCAGAGGACGTGCCTTTCACTCAGGGCCTGCAGAGACGCCTGCTTACAGCTGCGCCCTCAGAACTGCGGCTCTCACTGGTCAGCCTGCTGGTCAAGGGCATGACCGTGCTGGAGGCCGTGATGGAGATCCAGACAATTGCTGATGTGGGTTTGCTGTGGCGCCAGAGCCAGCCAGGCCGTGCCAAGCTCATGCTGGGGCCTAACCCCACACGCAAGGACCTCACAGGCTGGCTACTCAGCCATGGGGTGCCCAGGGAGAGAGTGGATAAGCAGCCCACCAAGGTCCTCCTGGAGCTGTACATCAAAGAGGCCAAGCGCAGCCGCAGCCAGCCAGTCTATGGGCTAGGAGAGGAGCAGCCGCCTCCACCTCCCTACTCTGACCAGGCCTGTGGGGAGGAGCCGCCCATACTCCATGACTAGCCCCTTCCAGTGGGTGGGGTGGGAGGCCAAACTCCAGAAGAGCTGCTTTCAGCCCAGAGCTCAGGGAGGACCTTTGCCTACACCTTTCCCATGTATCTCAAGCATTTGTAGGTCATGTTCAGAGACCCTAAAAAAGAAAGGGGTATCTTGTCCCTGGCTACTCCATTTGTAGAGATGTTAAGGGAGTAGCTACAAAAACAGCCACTTGCCCAACTGGGCCTTGGAGTGCGTTGTGCCAATTTGTTCATCTTGGCCTGGCTGCAGGGTGATTGGGCACAGTAGTGACTCATCCTCTGCCATTTGAGCCAAAAGCACTAGGGGCCAATTGAATACCCCATAGCCTATAACACCTGGCATCTTTTTACTTTTTAGGTTTTAGAGGCAATATTTTTACTTAATATGTTAAGCATGTGTGACATTTTGGTTTTAGTGAAGGTCATTGCCTTTTCTAACTATTGTAATGCTTCCATTTTAAGGTGTGCTTTGCTGAGTGCCTCCCAGGGAGGGGCAGCCATCCCTCCAGGTGGGTCTGGTTTCTCAAATTTGTACATCTGGCCTTGGGCCAGTGTCTGAGGTAGGTTTAGGGGGATCTGAACCAGGATCACAGGTCTGGGGACAACTGGTGCTGTTTTCATAGGTACCCAATAAATGGTACACATATCACCCTTTGTGAGCTGTGGTATTTGCTGACCTGACATGGGCTGGGTCTGAGGTAGAGGAGATACATATGGGCTTGTCCACCTTCAGGGCCATCTCCATTGCAGTGATCTGCTGGAAGTGTGAGCCTGATGTGACCAGGTGGGAACTGATCCTAGCAATAGGATGGTCCCCCACCCCATGGGGTCTGTCAACCTGCTACAAGCATGAAACAACCTCCCAGGGCCAGAAAGTACAAATGGGTCACAGCTGTTGCCTTCATTATTGGAGGCCCTGTGGTAACGACAAGCAGGTGGGCAGGGCAGGGCGTTGGCTGACCAGGGTGCTCCAGTGTGGTAGTGGTGTAACCACTAGTTCTCAACTGGTGGGAGAGGGGGGCTTCCCTCCTGGGGTCAAAGATGGCTTCCCACCACCATTAGCATAAGAAAATACACTTTAGGAACATTGACCGACCTGTCATGTGGCCGGGGCCTGGGCTTGCTAGTTTGGGACCTAACTTTAGCTGAGTGGTCCTTGCTGGCCACCCCCATCCTGGAGTCATCATCCTTGCCCTACAGGGCCTGAGGTGTGTGGAGCAAGGGGGCTGTGCTGGTGTGGAGATGGACAGACACCTGCATGTTTGTGTATGTGGGGGTACAGAAGCAGCCATGCAGCATGCATGTGTGTGCCGCCTGCACACTGGCTTCCAGGACAGGGAGCCCACCCAGCCCTTTTCCACACGCACAGACACAGTGACAAGCCAGAGCAGCGGGAGAACACATGTTGGGATCCAGTCAGCTGAGGGGAGGGGCTGCCCCAAGTTCCCAGCTCACACGGCCCCCCCTAAGGCCCGCAAGCAGCCAGGTCTCCAGGCCAATAAGCCGAGCCCCAGGCTGAGCACAGCCAGCAGGGCCACAGCTCCGGCCAGCAGGGGCACTGTGGTGGCTGCAGGAAGAACTTGGGGGTTGTGAATCTCAGGTCTGGGGGACCCCCAACTACTACCCCAGCGCAGAGAGCGGTCACCTGGGGGAGTGGTAGTCTCATAGTCATGACAGGAGGCCCCATGCACTGGCGGTCTGGCTGAAGCGGTCAGCTGGTGGAAGTGCCCTAGTGGACAGGGGGCTGGGCACCCAGGGAGGCTCAGGGACAAGGGTAGTCTAGCAGAGTCATTGCGGTAGAAGAGGGAGATGGTGATGTTCCTGGAGGGAGAGAGGAGAGGGTGACACCTACCACTGACCCTGGCTGAAGGAAGAGCTCAGATCAGGGGAGAGCTGCTGAATGGAGAAATGCTCCTGACTCAAATCTGTCAATCTCATCCAACTGTCCCTTCCAGGAAGGTTCCTTGGCAGTGCCCTCTGCCTGTCCATCACCCCTCCAGCCCATTCCCCTGTCCAATGTCCAGTTCCTCACCCTCCATCTTCTGGGTCCCTGAGACGTTTCCGGAACTCAAAACCGAGGCAGGCAGCATAGGGTGGGGTATGCCCGTCATAGAGGCCTAGAGCCCCTAGGAGGGCCAGCAGGGTGCTGTCGTGCTGCAGGGAGATCCAAGTTCTGAGACAGGGTTCCCCCCTGGATGGCTCTTTCCCAAATTCTAGTCTTTGGCATCTTGCTGCCTCCCAGATATTCCCCAACCACTTGGAACCAGTCCACCAAGCCTGCTCCTGCCTCCTCACTGGGGGGGACAGGTAGCCACTAAATATGATCAAGTAACCGCAGTATATGGTTGGACACTGGTGAAAGAGCCTGTCCTTCCACGGTGTACCTCTAGTGATAGAGTCTGAGAGTAGGATTCGGGGATGGGGGGTATCCAAGGCAGTGGGCTGAGATTGCATTAGGACCACCAGCTTTTCCTCACCCAAACTAATGTGACCTTCATCCCTGTGCCCATGAGGCACTGCCTTCCCTTCCCAAGAACTCACAGCTGAGTACATGACCATCTTGAGGGGCAGTCCCAGGCGCTGAACCCGGGAGAAGTTGGAAAGGATGGCATCCAGTAAAATCCCTGAAAGGGCAGGAGCAGTGCTTAGAACCCACCCCGAGAGGAAGGAACCTCAACCCCCCACCTTCCCAACCTCCCAGCCCCACACCTCACCCCCTGTCAGCTGGGCCTTCTCTGCTGCCCGGGGTGGGCCCACATGGGCCCCAATATCCAAAGCAGAGATCTGAGCCAGAGTTCTCAGGACATCAGGGGAGGCCCAGGAAGGTAGGGGAAGTCCGTGAGCTCGCTGGAGAGACAGGGAGGGAAGACAGAGGGCACATCCAGAGCTGCCCCTAGTGCTCCTGGGCCCTCTGGTGCCCTACCCCATTAACTGCTGGTTCCTGCCCTTGTGGGCTGGGGGAAGGGGGAGTCATAGTGTGGGCAATAGTGATTTTTTTTTTTTCTGGTACTGGGAATTGAACCTTGGGGTGATCTGCCTCTGAGCTACATCCTCAGCCCCCCCCTTAAAACATTATTTTTCAGTTTGAGAAAGGCTCTCACTAGGTTGCCCAGGCTGGCCTTGAGCTTACCATCCTCCTGCCTCAGCCTCCCAGGTCACTGAGATTCCAGGTGGCCACCCACCGTGCCCAGCTGTATTTTCTTAAGATCACAGTCACTGTTTTGGATGAAAGGGGCTATGGGCTGAAAGGAGTTCTCTTGCTAACTACTGCTCTGGGGGAACTTGATTCCTAAGCTGTCACTTGTCACCAGGCTACCTGGTCCCAACACCTCTCACTAGCTCTCTGCTTTGCTGTTGAGAGCATGAGGAACAATCAAGATCCAAGGCAGAGGAGCTCCCTGAGGGCTCCCCCAGGATGACTGTCTCAGAGCCTGAGCTCTCTGGGGACTTGGG